CCACATTCTTTTCCATTGTTTTTTCCATCTCCTGCAGCTCTGCCCTGGCTGTTTCAAGCTTCTGCTGATTGGTTATCCGCACTGTTTCCTTCACCCTCTGCCCGGGGAGAAATCCAGTCACTGCTCATTCCACAGAGCTCTGAAACATCCCCCCACCCATCCGTGAGCTCCCCCTCTGGTGCTCCAGCACAGAGGCAGCGGTTGCTGTGCCTGGTGCCCCGGGGAGTGGGACGGTGCTCCGGGAGCAGCCGGAGCCAAGGGCCTTACAGGGGGATGGGTTTGGGCTGTCACAGCGTGACTGCTGCTGCTGAGGACAGTTACAGCCTGGGTGCACTTGTGGCTTTAAAACACGGGCACAAAACAACAGCAGCTCTCTGGATCTTTGGGCATCACAGAGCTCATTTCAGCAGTGGAAGGAGCCGGGCAGTGCCTGCCCCTTCTCTAACGAGAAACAGGACGTTCTGCCTTCTGCTGAACTGGGCTGTGGGGCAGCCCCAAAGCCTCACCTGAAGCTTGTCACACTCCTGCAGCAGGGCCGTGGCTTGTTTGGCAGTGCTCTCACCAGCCTGCTGGATGTCCCTCACCAGCTGGCAGTTGGTCTCTGCCAGGCAGGCACAGAAGTGCTGCAGCTCCTTGATGTCCTCTCTCTTCTTCTCACACAGACTCTTCAGGAATTTGTGAGTTAAACTGTTGTCAATTCCACCAGTCCTGCCTGCCCCAATTTTCACTGTTCCTGGAACACTCCTGGTGACAGCAGCCACTGTGCCAAGGCCCCCTGGTTCCCCCACCTGCTCCCACCTCCTGCACTCCCAGCTGCAGGATCACCAGCGCCTTCAGAACCATCTTCTACCTGCTAAGGAGCTGTGGTTGTGTCCTTCACCTCCACCTTCTCCTTGCTAGACTGAGAACACCTGATACCAACCATCTTTTCTAACAGGTCACATTTCCTAAATCTCATCCCTCCCTGCTTCAGTCTGGACTCTCTCTTAGTTTCTCTTAATTTTTCTTGATAGACAATATCAAGGTCAGATTTCAGCAGCACTGAGCAGAGCAGTGTAATTACCTCCAGTGTATTAATAAATAAATACATGTCATTTTGCAACAGTGACTCAGACTGATAGAATTTCCTTCAGAAAGGCAGCCAGGGCATGGATTTGCAACCTACATCCCAGCGCTGGGTATTCGAGGAACCTACCATGATAATTTTGATCTCTTCCAAGTTTTTAGCTAGTTCCTCCTTCCTAAGGGCTAATTTCTTTTGATTGACACCTCCGGTTTTCTCTGGGGATGACATAGTCTCTGAAAGCAAAGATGGTTGTTCACTTGGCACAAATGCAACTGGAGAAACAAACAGACACTGGTTTATTTCCCAGCCCAGTTTCAGCATCTCACACTGACTCTCTCCTGTCATACGTGGCTGAGAGACTGAATTCAAACCTCCCCTGGCCCCAGCAGCCCACAGTTGCAGCCCAGAGTTGAGCCTATAAAGCTCCACCTGGTCTTTTCTACTTCTTCCCCCCCCCTCCCCTTTATTCTCAGCGTTTCCCCTTGGGTTATTTTCCCCTCGTGGCTTTTGCTGAACGTCCCCCAGCAGGAAGCGGCGGGTTAAGGCAAAAGCAGCAGCAGTGGGCAGGGACAGCGGGGGATGGATGAGGGAATCTCTCCCGACCTGGCTGCTGCTTCTCCCCTTTCTTCTTCTCCTTGTCCTCCTTGGTGAGCCGCGGCAAAGCCAACCTGCGGGCTGGGGGTTTCCTCTCCTCTGGCTCTGCCTTCCCCCCCTCGCTGGGACCGCCACGGAGCGCAGAGAACACGGGGAGTCAGGGGAGGTTTGTGAGCAGGGACCGTGACCCGCCCAACCCCCTGGGGCCTTCCAGGTGCCCCTTTGTGCCCTTCCCCGGCAGCAACTCCCAGCCCTGTTTGTCACCACGGTCCTGTAAGTGCCATAAACCCCAGGGGAGCAAGAGACTCACTCTGCTCTCGAGCTCCCCCGAGGCGCTCCGGGCCGGGCTCTGCGCATCGGTCCCTGCGGGGGATCTGCAAGGAAAGAGCATCCCCAGGAGGGGGCTGCGCCCCGCGGCTCTGCACCCCGGGCGGGAGCAGGGAGGCAGTGACACTTCAGCAAACCCCTTCACCTGCCCTCGGGGAACCCCCCTGCCCACCCCCTCGAGGGAGCCCCCCTCGGGGTGCGCACGGGGAACCCTCCTGCCCGCGGGGGGACCCCCCGGCTGCTGCGTCCCGCTCATCCCGGCCTCCATGGCAACAGCAGCCGGGTTCGGATCCCGGGCGGGGCGCGCGGGCACGGGAAGGGGCGGGAACGGCGCCGCCTGGCGGCTCCGCCCCGGCACTGCAGGAGCCTCGGGAGCCGGGGGCG